CAGAGGGAAAGGGAGAAATCGTCCCCTGGAGGCTGGCCATGCCACAATCCCGTCTCCATTCTCCTCTTGGGATCTTGGGCACGCATGCACATGTTTCCAGCATGATTTTCAGGCTGCCAGTTGTGGGACTCGAACCATAGTCAGCCATGTGGGAGTCTAGCCATAATCACACCACTTGCTGGCTTCTCCCTTTTTTTATTTGTCAGAGGGTCTATGTGCTCACCAGAGCGAGAGACAGGGCGTGGGAGAAGCACCCCCACGGGGCACGGCCACACCTCGATCCCTTCGCCTCTCCCTCCTTTGAGATTTCAGGCACCCACACACATGCCATGCACGCCGCGTGTTTTTCGGGCTACCAAGTCTGGGACTTGAACTGCACAGTCGGCCCTGTAAGCACAAAGCCGTGAATGTCACCATCTGTCCCTTTCTGTGTCTCAGTTAGAAGACTCAGCTCGACGCTGGGGACGAGAGAAGCAGGACCTAACCACGAGGCTACAGGAGCAAGAGATCATCTTGGGGCACCCCTCAAACCCCATCATCACTAGCCAGCCCGTGAGTGGCCCTTCTGGAGCTCCTTGGGGTTCAGGCAGTGTGGTTGGAAGCCACCCCCACAACACCCCCAGGTCACTGGGACCTGAAAAAAATGAGCACAAGCTCCAGGCTGGGAGTCAGAAGCCCTGGGCTCCAGTTCTTCCTACTCTACCCTCAGCTCTCACCTGGCCTCCACCTCGCCCCCTGAGGGAGAGGCCCAGAAACCCCTGCCTTGCCCAGGTTCTTGAGAGAGTCCAGGAAGAGGTGGCTATGGCTGAGGATGAGGGGTGGCCCACACCGGCCTTCCTGGGCCCTGAGCAGAGCACCTGGGCCCCCCACCACAATGTGACAGTGGTCCCATGAATGTGTGCTCTGTGGATGAGGACGCTGCTGCTGTTTGGCTCCCCCTGGCCACTTCCTGAGCGCTAGCAAGCCTGCTCCCAGCCACCCCTCAAGCTTGGCCCAGGCCACCTACCCCAGAGTGAAGACCCTGCCTACTCTTGTGCTAACAATACTTTGCTCAAGGCTGGAAGTCTGGTGGCCCCTGGGAATAGCCTGTAAGGCTGAGGGACTGACAGGGAACATAGGGCCACCTTTGCAAACCCACCGAGACCCGCATACAGACAGAAAGCATCATTTGCTGCAGTAAAATAGGTCTGGGAACCCTTAGGAAGTCCCAGATCCTCAGGGGCATGGCTCTCGGGGGGAAAAACACCCCTGGGGACGTGGGCATACTCACCTCTCTTCACTTGCCACAGAGCGTCTCAAGCCAGACTAAGGACCTCAAGCGGCCCTCCAAGGTGGACCCCTTGCCACCCAGCTCAGACACCAAGCTCCACCAGTCCTCCAGCTCCCAGAAGGTGGGCTCAAACCCTCAGCAGCAGCCCTGAGCACAGGCCCCCTTCCCACTGCCCAGATGCCTTTATTAAATGCTGTAGCTCCACAAGCAGCCGCCACCTCTTTTCTGGAGCAGGGTGGCCTGTCCCAAAAGTAGCCTCTTCAGAAAGCCTGAAGTCACAGTGGAGGAGGGTGGCAAAGGGTTCACCAACTCACCCCTGCCAGGTGGGCCTGCCCAGGCCACCCTGCCTTCCACAGCAGGCCGGGAGATGAGGCCCTCTCAGACCACCAGAAGTGAGGCCACCAGAGGCCAGCTCTGCTGGGGACGTTCCACCTGCCCCAAACGTCTACCGCATCTGAAATCCCTTCTTGCAAGTTTGGCTTATCTGTTTAGGAAGGGTGCGTCTTGAGCCTTGACCCTAGGGCCACACTGATCGCTTACGCAGATCGCAGACTGCGCCCGGACCCTGGTCACACCGAGCCTCTCTCGCCTCCCTGCGTCACGCAGTTACTCATTAGTGTGAAATACCCATCATCCAGGAACGGGCTACACAGGATGACGGGAGAGGGGTGCATGCTGGGAAAAGTAGACAGCCCAAGAGCGGACCCAGAGCCTGCTGACCCTGGGAAGAGGCTGTCCCGAGCTGGGCCAGCTCCCACCTGTAGGACTCGAACTTGGGTGGTGAGGGCCAGGACGACCAGCTCCTTTCACACAGGGAGTCGGGGGCTGAAATTGGGAGCAATGTCAACTAGCACAGTAATCACAGTAACCCCCCCTGCTGCCCAGAGCCTGGGCGAGGCATGTTCCCTGGAACAAGGGAAGGTCTGGGGCAAGCCCAGGGAGGGTGGCCCAGAGCGGAGGGAGCAGGCCAGTCTCACCTCCAGGCTAAGACCTTCACACCAGCCCCTCAGCTCTTGGCCCCCAGGTCCAGGACTCTGGCCTTGGCAGGAAGTCCTCCTGACCTCACAGTCCTCCTCCCATTCAGGTTTCACCCAGCCATCCTGCACAGCTCCCCTGCCAGGCAGCCTGCCCAGGCCACGCTGCTCTCAGCAGAGCGCCACCAGCTCCTTCCCCACCCCCACCTGCCCCAGGCTTCTGCACCTCCCGGCCAGTGGCAAGAGCTCTCCCCAGCTCTGTCTCACCCAGGCCCCACAGAACCAGGTGGTTGAGCCATCAGAGGGTGGGCAGGGCTCAGCAGGGGTCTTCAAGATCCTGCTGTGGGACCGGGCGGGGAGCTTCTCCCCAGGAACCGTGGCCGCCTTCAGCGGGAAGGCAATGAGAACACTGCACACAGGACAGTTCAGCGTTTATTTCCATCATGGGGCTGGCAGAGGTGGAGAGGAGAACAGGAGAGGAGGGGGAAGGACAGGACTGACCTAAGAGCCCATAGGCTCCACCCACTGCCACCCCCCCACACTGCCTGGCCGGCAGGAGGGGGCAGTGCCAGCCACCCGGATCATGCCTGGGGTGCAAGGTCTTCTTGGTCCAGGGGCTTGAAGGTCAGGAAGATGGGCTTGTCGGGCACCCGGATGAGGCTGAACGCGGTGCCCAC